ATCCAAATCACTCATTGAGATACCTAGTTCTGCAGACTTTCCAGAATCATGATAGACTTTTATTTCATATTGCAGTACGATCTTGATAGATATGGGATCAGATACAACAACTTAGACAAGGCAAAAAAACATACTTAGACCATTATGGTCTTAAAACAAGAAACACACACAGTTGACCATTATGCTCTTTTCGATAATAGACATTCAAACACTTAGAACATAATACTCTGTTTGTTAAAGATTCCTTTTATTTCTCTAAGATATCTTCCTTAGAGAATTGTATTCTAATGATTGTTCCCCTTTGACTCCCCCTGAGTTCCTGCATTCTGATGATTGTTGTCCTGTGTCTCCCCCTGAGTTCCAGCTACTCTGTAATGCTCCCAGCAAAATCAGAGTCTGAGTATCCAATAAGAGGTGAAGAATCACACCTAGGATACCACAGACCAAGATCATTTGTACCCTTTAAGTATCTAAAAATTCTTTTCATAGCTGTTTGGTGACTTTCTTTTGGTTGATGTTGAAATCTGGCACACAAGCAGACACTAAACTGAATGTCAGGTCTACTGTCTGTTAGATAAAGTAACGACCCTATCATGCCTCTGTACTTCCTTTCACAGACAGGTTGCCCATCTAAATCATAATCTAGATGAGTATTTGAAGCTATGGGGGTTTTGCATGGATTGACATTTATTAAATCAAATTTGGACAACATGGATTGAAGATACTTAGTCTAATGAATAAATATCCCTAAGTCAGATTGAGGAATTTGCAGACCAAGGAAGAAGTTTAATTCCCCCAAGAGGCTCATTTCATATTTATTTTTCATGGCAGAGCATAATTCATCACACATGTTTGAGTCAGTGCTACCAAAAACGATATCATCCACATATACTTGGACAATCAATAAGTGTTTATTCTTTCGTTTAATGAAAAGTGTCTTGTCAACCCCACCTTGACAGAATCCTTGTGAAATCAGAAAGGAAGTCAGTTTTTCATACCAAGCTCTGGGAGCTTGTTTAAGACCATATAGAGCTTTTGACAATTTGAAAACATGATCAGGGAATTTAAAGTCTGTAAATCCAGGAGGCTGTTCAACATATACATCCTCCTTGATTTCACCATATAAGAAGGCACTTTTAACGTACATTTGAAAAAGTTTAATATTCATATAGCTAGCATAGGCGCACAGAAGTCGAATGGATTCTAGGCGAGCAACAGGGGAAAACGTTTAATCATAGTCTATGTCCTCCTCTTGATTGTATCCTTGGGACACTAGACGAGCTTTGTTTTTAATAATGCATCCTATCTGACTTATTTCTAAAAATCCACTTAGTACCTATAACAGTGATGTTAATAGGTCGACGAACAAGTTCCCAAACATTTAACCTAATAAAGTGAGACAGATCTTCTTGCATAGCAAGCAACCATTCTTCATCAAGTATAGCCTCTTTGTAGTTTTTAGGTTCAAGCATGGAGACAAAGACGCACTGACCTGGGATGTGCTTACCTCTGGTATGTATATGATCAGTGAGTTTACCTATGATTTGTGAGGGAGGATGCATTTTTCTAATGTGATCAGGGGCTTCCTGTTGTTCACCGAGATTCTCATCTTGTGATGCAGAAACAGTCTCTGTTGGAAGTTCTTATGGGTTAGCATCAGGTGATTCTTCACCATTAACAGTGACCCCTGTCTCAAAAGAGGAGCTAAGAGGCAGAAAATCATAATTGTTAATATTAGAGTGTAATGGAAGAGAAGGATGAGATGAGTCAAATCGAATGTGTACTGATTCTTCAACTTTTCTGGACCTTTTATTGAATACCCTGTAAGCTTGCCCATTAGAAGAGTATCCGAGAAAAGTACCAATATCAGACTTAGAATCAAATTTTCTGATTGAGTCTTTGGTGTTTAATATGAAGCATTTGGTTCCAAAAGGATGCAAGTATGACAGCTTAGGGGTCTGTCCTTTAAGAATCTCGTAAGGAGGCTTGTTAACTATTTTACGAATAGTGGTACGATTTATGACATAACAAGCAGTGTTAACTGCTTCTCCCCAGAGAAACTTAGGACAATCAAATTCTAAAAGCATTGTTCGAGAAGTTTGAATAAGTGATCTATTTTTCCTCTCCACAAATCCATTTTGTTGAGGAGTTCTAGGTGCTGAAAATGCGTGGAGAATACCTAGTTCATCATAGAACTTGCTGAATTCATCGTTGATGAATTCACCACCATTATCACTCCTAACAGATTTAACAGAACAATCATATTGCTTTTGCATAAGGACAATAAAGGACTTAAATTTAGAGAATACTTCATCTTTGGATGAAAGAAAGAACACCCAAGTGAACCTAGAGAAATCATCAACAATGACCAACACATAAGATTTCCCACCAAGATTTTGGACATTGGTGGGACCAAAAAGGTCCATGTGTAACAGTTCAAAAGATGACGATGTGGTTACATCTTGCTTGCTTTTGAAGGATTTTTTGCAATGCTTTCCTAAAATGCAAGCTTCACATGTAAATTTTCTGATGCTTTGATAAGGGGCAGTCCTCTAACTAGATTAAGTTTAGATAGTTTGGCAAGCCTAGACATACTCATGTGTCCTAGTCTTCTATGCCAGCTAATTGCAGTATTTGACATAGAACTAAGACATATATCTTCAGACAGATCCAAGGTGGAAAGATCAATAGTATACACATTATTGATTTTCTTTCCTTTAAAGATTAGAGTGTTATCTGAGATGCGTTCAATAATGCAGCAGGATGGATAAAAAATGACACTGTAAGCGGTTCCACAAATTTGACTAATGGAAAGGAGATTGTGTTTTAAACCGTCAACATACAAAACATCTTCAATGATAAGAGAGGAATTGCTGCTAATTGTTCCCTTACCAACAACTGAAGCGCAATTATTGTTACCATAAAATACTTTACCTCCTCTTTTTGGATTTAGATAAGAAAATAGATCTTTGTTATCCGTCATGTGGTGCTAATTGTTGAGTTACTGTCAAACAAAACTTGCTTTTCAATATATTGCATTCATTTTGAAGATTTGACAGGGCATGAAGAAAGAAATCTTCGTTATGGGATTCAGAGACTGTATCAGAGGAAGAGTATGACCATACCTTTTCAGCAACATTGTTATCTTCCAAGCTGGAATTCAGTCCCATGTATGCAACAACTTTAGGCTCATCTTTTGAGCTATAGTCACTCCAGGATGCAATCATAGCCTTTTCTTTCTTTTTGTTCAGTGGACAATTGGCTCTTATATGACATGTTTTACCACATTTGAAACAGATAGTTGAGTCAGATTTATCATTTGAGTTCTTGTAATCTTTAGGACCAGAGTCAGATCTGTTGGATTCAAATGAATTTTTATCATTTGATCCACCAGAATGATGTCCAGATGATCTAGGGGAATTATTAAACATGTTTCTAGATGATCTGGGTGAGTAGTTATTATTGTAACTTCCCCTTTTCGCATTTTGATCATGCTTAAATTTCATCATTCTTTGAAATTTCTTGCTGGTGAGAGCGAATTCATTTTCAAACTCCTTATCCAGTTTTTCTTCTTCGACAGCACACACAGACTGAAAGGCAATACATTTGTTCTTCTTATCGTGGAAGAGAGTTTATTTGTTTGAGAACGTCCTCATGGCTAAGAAGAGATCCAATCACATTGAGGTCTTTAGCTTCCTCAATGGTCGTTCTTTTAGCCATCCATTCGAGAGGAAGAGACCTAAGCACTTTTCTAACAAGCTCTTTGCTTTTGAAAGATTTTTCTAGTCCCTTGAGTCGATTGACTAGGGTGGAAAATCTCTTATCCATTTCTGAAATAGATTCACTAGAAATCATATCAAAAGTTTCATATTCTTTCAGTAGTAAGTCTATTCTGGTTTCCTTAACTTCTGATGTTCCTTCATGAATAGTTTCAAGAATTGACTAAATTTCTTTAGCAGATTCACATTTGTTTACTCTTTCACCTTCATCTTCAGATATTGAAGAAAGCAAAATATGCATAGCCCTAGAGTCTAGTTGATCATTTTTCTTTTGTTCATCATACCAATCCTCCTCATCGTCTTCCTTCATGTCAATTGGTCCATTTCGGACAATTGCCCATAATTCACAATCGATTCCTCGGAGGTAAAGACGCATTCTTTTTTTTCTTCATACAGAGTAATTTGAACTTGAAAACCAGGGAGGGTTTGAACTAGTTGGGAGTGAGTTTCAAGACATAGCAAGGCAAAGGATCTCCTTCTCAGCAACACTTAGTTCTTACGAAAAGGAGGCTCTGATACCAATTGTTATTGGCTATGCCTTACTTCATTCGCTCAAAGAGATAAAATCAACTAATTGATTATTTCATATCACAAGTCGAACAAGTAATTTAAGACTTGAGAATCATTAACAGGAAGAGAACTCGAATTGAAATGAAACACAAATAAGCAAAAAGACTAGAACAGAAGTGAAGCCCAGATAAGCTTGAGTTCCTGGAAACAAACACCAACTCAAGCTATCTAGACACTTCATCCGAACCCAATCCAAGAACTCCCAAAGAACTAACCAGTTCTTACTGAGTTGAGGAAACCGTTGCCCTCTCCATTTCCAGGAGCGGTCTTTATATAGAATCAGCAACTCCATTCTTCCATGTCTTTCATCTTCAATGCGATTTACCGTTTGATCGAAATAATGATGGAAGATCTATGATGCACAAGAGTCCTGCAGTAACCTTTAACTGTTTAATTTTGATGATGATGAATCCAGAGAACGAAGGCGAAGACGCGAATAGGGCTCTTGATGAGGTCAGGGAAAACGCTGCGCATCTGGTGGGCTTTTTTTGTATGAGTGGGCCTTTTGGTTATGAGAAGAGGGACGAGGCAAGACCCAACACATTTTTCATCCTACCTAACTTCCCCCCAACCTCATCCTCTCCTTCATTTCCGTAGCAATAAAACATAATCTTTCTCTTCCTCTCTTTCTTCTTATCTCCTCTCATCTCTTTTCTTTCTTTCTTTCTTCCTCTCTCTTTCAACTTCTTCCATCTCTCTCTCCCACCTTGTATCATCTCTTTTTATTTTTATTTGCCTCCACAACTCTCTTCCTTGTGCATCAGAAATAATAAAAGATTTGCAGTTTTTCAATCGACCATTGTAAGAGGAGGAGCCGGCACCAACATCGCAGCGCCGGCGGCCATTGTCTCTCTCGCATTCATCGTTATGGCAGTAAGTCGATTACCTCTCAATTCATTTCCATTAACGTTTAGATTGAGTGATTAATTTAGTAGTAATGAAATGACAATTATTTCAATTAATTGTGTGTTCATGCCTAACATGAGATTAATAAAAAATATGTCATGCAAATTACGTACAAACTCTTTTATAATACAAATCACTCCATCACCTTTTAATACATTAGTTCAATTTGAATTCTAAAAAAATTGCTCAATTTGACATGTCATTGTTAACTTTTGCGTGACACATCGTCACATCCTAATATGCATCTTATGACCAAGGTGAAATATTCATTCTAAAGAATTTTTTAGATTTTATTGCGTTGAGCTTTTTTCCGGTAATTATCACTTTCCTTTAATCTCACTCTGGTCAAAGGAATCAAAGTTTGAAAAATACAAAGATTTCAGCCTATAATTCCATCTTTACATTAGACTGTTTTGCCATGAAGAAGAAGGAAAATCTGCTATCAACAATACATATGATAAAATAATAAATTGTTATAATATCAAGGTCAAACTGCATTGCTAACGAAGTATCCAATAATTTATCTAAGACAAGTTCAACGTGAATTTATCTAAGATAGGTCCAATGTAAAAAAACAAAATATATAACTTAAGTTTCATGTTGTATTTTCATATTCTGAAAATGTTCTAATATCCATTCATCATGCAAATTATGAGAAATGTCATTCTTAAGGTACTTCACTTAAATATCATTCATGATTTCAACTCTTATTCTATTCTGAAGTGTCTTTTCATGTTGTTCTTTGTTCTAAATGCTCTTTCAATGGGTAGCAACAAATGCCACTGACTTTTGAGTTTTCGTCTATATTAAATTCAGTTACAAAATATATTAATTAGAAGTTAGATAAAAATAAAATAAAATTTTTCCGTAAAGTTGTTTACAATAATACACATATCTATCTTATGTTCAATCCACAATCGCATAAAAAGTTTATTAATATATTTTTGGGTGAAGAAGATGCAAATGATCTCCTTTTACCTCATGTGGCTACGCCACTCAGCATAACTCCCATTATATATATAAGCAAACCTTTATATACAAATGGAAATATAGCCTCTATCAAGAGTTCCTAGCAGCTTCAAAAATCCTGTTTCATCTGTCCTTTCAACACAAATGTTACATCCAGCACCATAACATCCTTTGTGGTGTTATACAACTTCCCAATCACTAAGCCACAAGGTATACAGTTTTTCAAAGAAAACTTTTGCTAACTCAATAGTGTAAGCACAACGACAAAATAAATGGTCTCGTGTCTCTCTTGCCGAATTGCATTAGATTTTCATTGTCCATTTCATGTGTCTTTTTTAATTAAATTTTGGATGCATATATCCGGTGGTGTACTCATAAATTCTATATAGTAGCGCTCTCTCAAAAAATTAACATAATATTAATATTAGATTTCTGAAAAGAATATATTCCACTAATACAAATTACAATTAAATCATAATATCCTCAAAAGTGTCCTGGAAAAAATGAGCAAGTAGAGAACAACAAAATTATTAGTGTTTGATTGAAAAACTTGATAAATTATTATTTAAATGAACTTTGATTTAATGTGAAAATTTATTAAGTATTTGAATTTTAAAAAAGTATTATTGTATATTCGATATCATTTAAATTTCCAGTTAAATGACTTCAAAATAATTAAATATTTTTTGAAACCCCTAAATCGTCTGCATGTATAATTTCAAATTATATTTTTATTCATTTCATTGTTTTTATATCATTTATAGTTTTTAAATAGTGTCATGTTACTATTAATTTTTATATTTATCAATCAAAATTTTTCTTTTTTTTAGATAAGGGTGATATAGGTTTTTTTTTTTTGTTATTAGGTACTACTGAAAGGATTCGAACCTGGTACCTCCAGGTTCATGGCTAGTGGTATTACCACTAGACCAATCCCTTGTTCGTCAATCAAACTTTTTCTGATAAGGCTTCCAAAATAATTGAATTACAGTATATTTTCAATTTATTTCTCTATTTGACGAACATATAACTCAACAAACTTAGACGTTGAATATTCTACTTGTAATAGAATTACCAATCAATGGTAAATTTGTCCCTGAATTGATATTTATAACATATGCCCATCATTTAAAATGTAATCGCTTTTTCCACCCATAGAAATTAAAAGGGTTAATTGCATGGTTGGTTACTGAGATTACAAAAAACGTTCATGTTTGGTCACTGAAAATATTTAAATCCAATTTTGATCAATCAAATTAGTTAAATGGTTCAAGTTTGGTCACTCTCCGTCCATTTCCGTTAACTCTAGCTTACGTGGTAGTCAACTTTCACAGTTGACCGTTAAATACGCGACGTGACAATTAAAAAATTATTAAAAAATAAAAAATAATCTTTTATATTTTCCACCTCATTATTATATTCATTAAAAAAAATCTAATAATTCCTCTATAGCTAAAAGCCAGGTTTTTTGGCTGAGAAGACACCAGATGTTGACATTTGTCCAAACACCCAGAAATACCCATACTACTTTTCCATCTATTACAAGTTTGCCATTCGTGTTCCACATAACCCTGTAAATTGTGATCGCGCTTTTTTTTTTTGTCTCCTCTGCCTGCGGTCACCGCAATAGCTAATGCCTTCTCCGTATCTGAGCTCAGTAAAGTGGATTTCCGTTTGAAAAACAGAAAATGAATAGAAATCATCACTTGTCTTTTATAAAAGATCAACTGCCACCGCTGCCTTCCGGGTTCATTCCCCTGCCGTCCTCCTGTCTGCACCTCTGACTGTGCAACTCGCCATCATTGATTCTCTTGATCTCTCTCCCTCGATCCTAGATCCGGCTGACTGTCGTCCTCTTGTCTGCGCCCTCCTCCCTTAGACCCTCAATAACATGGTAGATCTCCTCTCCTGATTATCGATTAGGAGAGAGGCGATTCAACCACAACTTTTCCTGCTTCTATTTCACGTCGGAGACCAGCAGATCTGCCACCAGGGAATCTCCAACAAAAAATCAAATACATGTCATTCATCAATGCTATGATAGGAGCGACGAGAAGAACAAGGAACCTTGAAGCTTCTGTGGGAAGGTGGCTGAAGTTATGGTTCAAATTAGGGGTTTTTTTTGCGGCAGAGGAGCGCGATTATGTGGTAGCGACGGTGGAGATATTTTGGGGAAGAGAGGAAATTTTTTCTATTCCAACAAAGGTTGCCTTCGCCGTAGTCAATTTCTTCAACATCGGTCGATGTTGTTGGATGTTTCCCGCTTGCGTTTTCTATCGCCATAGGTAGTGCGGAGGAGGATTAGAAGCATCTAGATGTGGCGGCGGTTGAAATGGTAGCCGGACGCCAGAGAGGAGTATCGCAAGCTGCGGCGAAATGAGGGAATGTCACTACCGGGCCGGAGTTGGGTTATGGTGGTGATGAAGTTGGGTCGGGTAGGGTAGGGGTTGTGTAGAAAAGAAATTAAGGTTTTTTTAATGAATGTAATAATGAGGTGGAAAATATAAATGCTTTTTTTATTTTTTTATAATTTTTTATTTGCCATGTCACGTATTTAACGGTCAACTATAAAAGTTGACTGCCACATAAGCTAGAGTTAACGGAAATGGACGGAGAGTGACCAAACATGAACCATTTCACTAATTTGAGGGACCAGGAATGGATTTAAATATTTTCAGTGACCAAACATGAATGTTTTTTGTAATCTCAGTGACCAAACATGCAATTAACCCGAAATTAAAAGCCAAAATTATTATTATTGATTCTTATGCACTCCAAATTTTTTTTCTACTTCAATATATAACAATAATAATCTCATAAGTAATTGAGTTGTAGTTGATCTTGTCACCCATAAACTAAACTTGAATATATCATTGTAGATTATCATGCATATCCGAGCCTATTTTGCTCTCTTACACATATAAAGTATTAAGTGATTGAGGGGACTGTAGAGCGACTGAAGCTTGACTTTTCCTAATCTACAACAAAGAGAGACTTTGTGGCAAAGTTATTTGTTTGGGATGTAGACTTTGTGGCCCAAGACTGAAAGATTCACATGTTTGATAACTAAGTACCAAAGAAATATATATGTTTTAGATAAAAAAAAAACCAAAAATAAATTTACATTTTATAAGTATATAATATGGTGTAGTTGTAATACTACACATTCAGGAAAATCTGAATTATTTGATTTGTTACTTGCAATCGTAACCTTAGTACGACTCATGTTTGTATTTTACAATTTTTTTAGGTGAGATGAAAGAAACAGGAGAACTTTTTTTAGGCCGATTTCCTGATAATTGGATGTCAACGGATTTCTCCTAATTAACAAATAACAACTAACCAATTTACGCGTGTATGGTTAATAAACTAGTCGGTCTAATTCTAAGTTGTTTCTGTTTTCGATTAATGATTCGATTTGATTTTAAAGGCCTGATTTGTGGTGGATGGGGTGTGTTTGGCAAATACTTGTATTTTGTAGGACAAGGGCCGTCCGTTGCCAAAGTTCGGGGAGTGGGATGTAAATGATCCATCATCTTCAGAAGGGTTCACAGTTATATTTAACAAGGCCAGGGATGAGAAGAAGTCCGGTGGAAAGTCTGACTCCCCAGCCAATGCTAAATCCAACACTAAGCATAGACAACAGCAATCTGCCACCCTTGGCAAACCTCAGTCCGTAAGTCATAAGGATTACTGTTTTTCTTTATGAGAAATTAAATTAAATGATTTTGTTGTTCGTCTAATTGATACTGATTGGTCATAGTTAAAGGAGGATTCGTTCAATTAATATGGGTTGCACTTTTTAGGATTTAATTTGCTCTCATTACGTATACGAAAAAATTCTTCTGTTGAAAATGAGTCAATTATATTCGAAATATTGTGATTAAAATTAACATGTTTGATGGATTTACATGCCACTTATATGTACAAATGACTAACTTAGTAAAATTTATGTAATTTACAGTCATATTTTCCTCTGCACTTAAGTTCAAAGAGTGCAAATTCACTTCATGGTGTCGTTGATTATAAATTTGCTATATTCTATTAAGGAGAAACAAGATTTCACTTGCTATTTTCTTTACACGACTCCTTTGGCTTAATTATATGCAGAAGAAATGGCTTTGCTGCATACAAGTTGTGGCCTCAGACTAAAATAAAGCGGCCCTCAATTATCCCAAAACGGAATGATTCATCATCAATGCAAAACCCTAGTCCCAAATCCACCCATTGCATTGTATGAAAAATGAGAGAAATCCAAGCTCTATTAGCTCGAAGTAGAAGAAGATGGGAAGAAGAGAGAGAATAAACTATGATAATGGGTTATATTCTTTTTTGGGGGTGTTTTATTTAAATTTGCGTTGATGTTGACATTTGTGCTATTATTTTAGTTATAAAAGATAAAGAAACGCTTTGTTTGGGGGGCTAAGTGAAAGGGAGATGAAATTGGTGGCGTTGTTGGGCCAGCATACAATGAAAATAGTGGGAAATTTGAGGGGTAATTAAAAGAAAGAAAAAGTACAGGGAGTCAATGACAAATTTGTTATGTTTTGTTTTCTATTGCGATTTTGTTTTATTATGTAATGGTTTGGTGGATTCTTTCTTTTTAACGTTTATGTTAATTTCAATCTTCGACATAATAATTTTCTTTCATATTTTATTTACTCTTAAGCATGTATTTGATGGGGTGAGCATTGAGTTTTACATTTTATAGTTTAGTTCTTCGATAACACTTAACAATTTCAATTCTAGTCAAGTGTAATTTGAATTGGACAAGTAGTATATAGCATGATCGATCACTACAAGAAAATTTTGCTATAGCGACAAAAAATAGAGACAAATATTGTATTTGTCTTTGATACTATGTTATATACGACAAATATACTATATGTTGCTATAAGGATGATTATATGTTTCAAAAAGTTTGTTATATGTGACAAATGCATAATTTGTCACTGTAAATGTTAGGTTATGCAATTAAAAATACTTTATATATGACAGATATATGATTTTGTCGCTCTTGATATTAGTATTCGTGTCTTTTAAAACTAAAGGCCACTTATAATATTTTCATATATAAACAATTTAATTAACCCTAAGCAACCCCTATGCTAAACCCTACGTATACATATATATTCACACAAAACAATGGAGCGGCTGCGCACACTATTCTTTCAGCCACTCAAACCCTTCACCTAAACTCGTCATTTTTCTATTCCTCAAAACCGAGAAGCACAAAATCTCGCTTCCATTCCATTGTGCTTGCCATCAGGACTCGGGCGAGTAGAGAATGAGAGACGGAGAGCAAGTGAGCGGCGGCAAGATCTGGTCCGTTGATTGAGGAAGCGAAGGAGAGCTCGTTTAGGATTCATGGACCATATGCTACCGCCGATGCCAACAAGAAAGAGAGAGAGAGAGAGAGACGATGGACAATGGCCTCAATCAAAGGAAATCATAGTGTTGTCGATCGTGCCAAGTGATCGAGGGAAGAAACTAGTTGCGGCTTATGTGGAGCGACGGTTTCGGGAAGGGTCGCTATTTTGAACGCCCTGGTTGTAGGAGTTTCAACGGCATTGCATTGCAGGGGAAAGAGGAATCAAAGCTGATGGTGAGCCTTTACAATCATATGACCGCTTTTGATCCATTGAGGATGTGGATGTAAGGAGTATCGTTTGGTCTCGTTCTTTTAAGTTAAATGCATTCGATTATATGTTAACTTCTAATTTTCATGATAAATAGATGGTTAATTTAGATGTTTTTTTTTGGTGACAGGTAACCTTGATAGACGATCAACTATTTTGAAGACATTTGCTACTTTAAATTTGGAGATTAGTTCTAATAGCTAGGAGTTTTGAGTTTGAGCGTTACTTTTGTTTTTTGGAAGTTGAATATTATTATAATTTGTTCGAGGGATTTTATTGTTAGTACACGAATTTTCCCAATTTACATATTATGGATTTAATTTCATTGATAGTATTATTTATATTTTTAATAACGCTTTTATTTGTTTGTCGTTACATACTCACTATTGATATAGAATATGGTCTAAAAGAGATTTTCGAGCAATATATAATTGTCCTACAGATCCCTATCATAAACAAATAATTTGCATTTGCAGAAAATATTAGAGAAAATAACATATTTCTCCAAAATGTTATTAGATGCATATATATTAGTCTCTGAAACTTAATTATAGAGGCAAATTGATATGTCACTAAAAAGAACATTAGAAACGATTAATATTGTTTTGTAATTTATATTCGAAGACACTTATAATAGTCTCAACAACAAATTTCAAAGACCAAAGTATATGTCTCTAAATATTATTTTAGAGACTAATATTTAAGTCTTTAAAAGTAGATATGGAGGCAAAATAATAGTAATAAAAAATATATATTAGAGACTAAAATATTAGTTGCAAAATCTACAATTAGTAACAAATAATATATGTCTCGATATCTGTCTCTGTAGAGTTATAGTGACAGCATTACAAGAGACAATTGGATAATCTGCATCTAAAATAATACAAAGACAAATACATGCTTTATAGAAACACATTTCCTCTGTCTCTATAGCCCGGTTTTCTTGTAGTGGATGTCGTATTTCAAGGGGACTCTAGGTCTACTATTACTCTCGGCTTTCACATACTATTTGGTCAAATCGGATGATTGTGATGATTTAAGTGGGAATAAACCCAACGAAGAAAGAAACAAAACTAAAAGCGAGGGAGATCACTAATGAAGAGCTAGTTTCGGCTAGACTTCGAACTACCTTCAATGCTTGTTAATGGTTCATGCATGTTTTACGAAATTGGAGTGATTCATCATTCACTCCGCAAAAATACATATATTAAGCTCTAACACAATGGTCATGTAATTAGACCTCCTACAACCTAAATAAAGGGAATTGAGTCCGAATTCTCACAACATCAAATACCTAGGTCATGCATTTAGGTTAGTATTCCACTAATGAAATTAATTCACTCTTCATGGCATATAACCTCACTAGGACAAAATCATGTGATGTCATGATCCATTCAATCACATAATCCTCATCTATCTAATGATGGCCCAAACTCTAGAGATTGAGGCATGATCACCTGATCAATCTCCAAGACCTAATTACACCCAACTTGAATTCCAATTATTGAAATTACTTGATAGAAATATTTTTAGATAACCATATGATGTTATGATCGAGTCACTCACAAAAATCCCGCACCCGTGGTGGGTCAAACACTAGAAATTTAGGAAAGCTCACAATCACATAAATGGTGCCCAAGAATCATGCATCATAATAATCATAGATAGATAGTAGAAAGCAAATCAGTATACTCAATCCATATATAGGAATAAAAATCCTTAACAAACATCTAGAGAGTTCTACATCTAACCATCACAAAGGCTTAGCTCATAGAGAGAGAGATAGTGTACAAAAGTTAAAAGAAGAACATTACTATTGAGCTAGATCTATCTACTCCTTCTTCCTTTGGTCACCTGTCATGAATCTTGGAAGGATTTGGTGTTGATACCATGAATAAATCTCCCAAGAAGCCTCTAAAATCATCACTCTCCCTCTACGTCTTCCCAAAATTTGTTTCTCTCTCTTGAATGCCTCACTTTGTTCTAAAACATATCCTTGTATTTATAGACCCAAACATGTCAAAGATCTTGACCTAGGGTTAGAAGGAGTTCTTAGCCGTGATCTCGGGTAAGAATCTCGTGATCTTTCAAAAGCTTATTCAGGTCATAGGCATGGTCACGACCATGACCTGGCTGTGCTCATGTTTACGGGCAGAATTCATGCCATGGATCTTTTCTTCTTGTCACGTACTCTATATCGTAGTCTACCTTTTCGTGACCATAAGGCTGGGAGTGAGACCTTCTTTACTCGTTGTTGGTCGCCCTCTTGGAGTTTGCAAAGCTAGACCGCAAGGCTAGTCGTGAGACCTTCTTTACTCATTGTTGGTCTCCCTCTTGGAGTTTGCGATTGTAGAACAGAGTTCACGACCATGAGCAATGGTTGTAATGTACATTGTGGATTGGGTTACAGTCGTGACCTGACCTTGAGTCTTCTTTTCACCCGTGAAACAACTTACAATTGGCACAAAACAAGGCACACACATTCTTTATCATGCTAGGACCTGAGATTAAGTAAGAAAACACAACCTATTCTAGAAGAGGATGAGAATGAACAAGTTTCAACCTAATTGGCCAAGTGACGATCAAAGTCATGTTAAATCATAGACTACGATTCTAGGAAGTAACTGTATCATGAAATCAATCTAAAAATTGTCGGAGATGATGATTATAGCACACATTTTATCCCCGTTTCCTTTGGGCGTTTGAAGCATTTGAACTCCTAAAAGGGTGGTTTTACGCTAGGTTTTGTGGGTTTTAGTGTGTTTCAGGATCCAACAGGTGAAACCAGCCCCAGAGTCGAAAGTTGGACGAAAAGAGGCGAAGACCGGGCAAAGAGGGTGATTCAGGCAGAGATCATGGGTTGACATTGGAGTTCACGGTCCACTATGGCCGTGAACTGAAGCCCAAAACCGAGAACCGCGATGCGTCCAGGGAGAAATATGCAGCTATTGACGCGAGACGAGTTCACGGTCAACAAGACCGTGAAGATTGAGGCCAAACCGTGAACTCCTAATGGCGAAGCGGTGCATTTCGACATAGCGCTCTGTATTCATGGACGCTTTGAAGAGTTCACGTTCGTAAACTGAGGCCGTGAACTGAGCCTGATCCTGGTATATAATGTGAGCTGAAAGGTAGAGAGAGGGGGAGCCCAAGTGTGAGAAAGGGTCTTCTTCTTCTTCAGATTTTAGAGAGATAGAGGACGAACCAAGGAAGAAGGAAGGCTAGGGTTTTCTCCAAGTGGTGAATTGGGAAGAATCTTCCCAAGAGAAGATCAACACAAGCTTAAAGGAGATTGGAGGCATCTCCATGATGGTTTCTACCTCTTCCTCTTGTCTTCTCCCCCTTTATAGCATGGAGTAGTACTCTTTTTCACTTGGGTGTTGTAAAACCCTAACTATTTGCCATTTAGTTGTAGTGTGACTTGAATGATTGTTTATGGGTGTTGTTTAATATAACAATTGAGGTATTTTTCATGATGATTGTGCATGTGTGTGCTTAGCAATCTAATTGGCCATTCTAACCTACGTTAGAGGGGAAACCCCCTTTCCAAAAGAGGCTCAATTGAGTTGGGATTCCTTGGGCTTGACAAGCCACATACCTAGGTTAATGTAGGGCAAACCTCTATCTTGAATTAAGCAACTAGGTTAATCATGATTAAGCCGTCCAACCATCGGTTTGAGGGAGAAGGTAAGTCAACCCTTAATTGCCTTAACCAAGAGGGCTACTCTTGTGGCCTATAATGTATCCCTTTGTTTGGCAATTGAGAGTGTGGTCCTCGACCATAGTAGCACCTCCTAGCGGTTCATGATTGCCTTGCCCATAATGTCGCATTCGAGTCCACGTGACATGGTAGTAGTTAGAGGGAAATGACACCGAGCGATCCTTCCCATCTAGAGCTTTCAAACCATTTACTTTTGCTTTTGTTTTGATTTAAATCTCATAATTTTCAACCAAAAACCAATTCGCTAGATAATGGTTAAAACACCGAAAGTAGGGGTACGCGGGTCAGCCCGAGTTG